GCTCTTCCTCCTCGGAGAGCTCTTTTCCCGAAGGCCCTCGCTGACTGGGCGAGGTTGTGGGCATTGTGAAGACAACCTGCTCTGCTCGAATCTACTGACTGACGTGGGGACATCTAAAAATGACCTCGCACGGACATCTAGACTGGGTTTGACCAGGCGGCTCGGCACCAACGCCTGGCCAGGTGGACACGGAAATTGACTGTCCCTGGGGCCCGAGGCCCACGACTGGCTGCGAGCCAGCAGGTCCTGGATGGCGTGTGGTCTGCAGTGCTCTGCGGGACAATGCACATGGATCCCAACCTCGGAGCCGTCCACACACGGCCTCCGCTGCCATCCCTACATGGGTGGATACGCCGTGCCAGGGCGAGCTCGGTGGGGAGGGCCGTCCCGCTGCAGGGCTGCCAGCTCTGTCCCACGGTCAGCTCCCTCTGCCTCTGACCTGCAGGTTCAGGCCTCAGGAGAACCCCGCAGTGCCGACGGAGGGCTGGGGGCCACGCCCGTCTAGATAATCTGCCTTCTCCAGCGGCCTAGCCTTGTGATGAAGTGTGGTTGATGGGGTCCCGGGGCGGGGAAGGACATACCCAACCCTGGGGTTCCAAGGTGGGGCCTCAGGGAGATGAGGGTTAAGGTCAAGGCAGAGCCCCATGACTGCGTCCTGGGGGTTGTGGGGTGAGGGGGGAGGCACGCGGTAGATGCCTGCTCTTGCTGTCTCGCCGTGTGGTGCTGACCGCCATGTTGGCTGAGGAGGCTCTCACAGATGCGACCCCGACCTGTGCACTGCCCGGCTGTGACTGAATAACCCTCCACTGGGATCACTGGGTGTGAGTACCGGTTACTGGGCAGCAGGACACACCAGGCGCTGTCCCCTCCCACACCTGTGTCCATAATCCCCAAGCCCGCCCGGGCCCCAAGAAGTTGCAATCCTGCTCCTAAAGACATAGTCAGCTCCTAATTTTGCCCCCCAGGGGACACTTATCAGTTTTGGTTGTAAGTCGGGGTTCAGGGAGCATGCTGCTGGCCTCTGGGGCCAGGCCAGAAATGTGGCCCACACTCTGGTGTACAGGAGGCCCGCCGTAGCGACCCTCCCCAGATGAGGGAGTGGAGACATGGGATACCCTGCCCTGTGCCTGGCTTCCGGGAGGGACTAGCCTTCGGAGTCTCCCAACCTGGCCCACTCCCCTGCCTCTGGTCCTGGGGTCTGCCTGTCTCCTGCTCCTGGCTAAACCCTCCTGGTTGTTGGGTGCTTTCTTGGAACATGGCTGTCATCTCCCCTCGGGGGTTCCTGTTTTGCTCACCCTCCTCCAGTCGTTTGCAGTCAGGCTGTTCACTGAGTACCTGCCCACCTGGGTGAGCACCCCCAGTCCCGGGCAGCCCCTCCAGGTGCCCCTGCCCACCTGGGTGAGCACCCGCAGTCCCGGGCAGCCCCTCCTGGTGCCCCTGCCCACCTGGGTGAGCACCCGCAGTCCCGGGGAGCCCCTCCAGGTGCCCCTGCCACAGCCTGAGCCGGGGAGGTCACCTGCAGGAGGGAAGCCCACAGGCCCCAGGACCACGCTCTGCCCGTCAGAGGAGCCGAGCGGTCTCCGCCGTGGCTTGGCTCCTACCCTCCTGTGAGTCCCCGGCTGTCGGGGTGGCTCCCCACCCTCTTGGCGATCAGCCCCCTCCCTGCTCCATGGCCCTGCTCATGCTGGCCTTTACCCGGCCCTGAACTCTGACACGCTGGTGGGTGCCGTGTCCTCCTGTCTGTCCCGACGCGTGATTACTCTGCTCATTAGAAAAGAGTCATAGGTGGGACTAGCAGGTGTTATAGAGGTTAAGGTGCTGAACTCCCACATGGTGGACCACGGTTCCATTCCTGGACCCAGTGACTTGAAACTCATGCCAGGTGCATGGGCGTAGATGCCCAAAATCCTGAAAGGAGAATGGAGGAGAAGGGACTGTGGTGTGGCCACCCCCTACCCCAAGGGTAATTTCTCACTTTCTGTCTCTCTATCTCTCTCTGAGGAGCATGACACATCCCATAGCAAAAATCTCTCTAAAAGAAGGAAAAAAAGAAAAAAAAAAAACACAAAGAAAGACGGAAAGAAAGAAGAGCCACAGTTACAGCCCGAAGAGAGCTGCTGCCTGGAGAGGCGCTTCCTTGGCGACGCTGAGGCCCCTGGCACCTAACCCTTCAGCGACCCCGGAGAGGGAGAGGAGGGCCCGGGGAGAAGAGTTAGGGTTCAGGACAGCAAAGCGAGCCCTCCCACGACGTGGACGGGAGCAGTTAGCGTGCTTACTCCTCCGGGGGCTTGTCAGGAGGCCCTTCCCAAGGCCAGGGCCCACCTGGGTCTGTAACAGGACGTGGAGTCACTGCGCAGCCTGAGGGGCTCTGGCTGCGTCCTCTGCTGCCATCTGGTGGCAGACTGCAAACTGCAGAGGAGCACCTGCTCGCTCCAGCAAGGACCCTGGAGGCGGCGCAGGCTGGGTTGGGGTGATCCCTGACAGTAGCAGCAGAGGGCCTCTCATGCGGACCTGGTGGGCACATGAGGAGGGGCAGACCTCAGAGTGCTGTCAGGCACAGTGACAGCAGAGGGCAGCAGAGATGAGTCACATGACCCGCCACCTTGTCCCATGAGATGGTAACTTTCCCACCTCCATCTGCCATTTGAACCACAATGGTCAGGAGTGGAGAAGAGATTGGTTTAAATTTTGGCCTCATTTTTCATCTTATTTTGGCGCAGATATGAGTCAAGGCACAGACCTGAGATGCAGCAGGGAAAAACTCTTGAGCCACGGAACGTGGGCGTGGACCCCTGCAGCATGCGTGTGCAGGAGGAAGGGTGCCTTTCTCCAGGGGCGGGGCCTGAGACCGGCTGCCCAGCAGAGCCGTGAGGGCAGCCGCATCACTGCCGCCTGGGAGGGAGGAAGGTGTCCTAGCTTACGTGATTTGGGGTTCAGAAACCCTGGACCAGGCATGGGAGGAGTTTAAGTAGGTGTGCCAGCATCTTTCTGAGTACAGGCTCTGGGGTTGGAAGGGCCCTTCAAGGGAATGAAGCAGGCAGAGCGCTGAGCATGCACCCCGCTTGTCTCCAGGAGCATTACCCGGGGCTCAGCCTCCACCAGGGCTCGACCTCTTCTGGGGCTCAGCCTCTCCTGTGCTTGGCCTCTCCTGGGGCTCGGCCTCTCCTGTGCTCAGCCTTTCCTGGGGCTTGGCCTCACCCAGGGCTCGGCCTCTCACGGGGCTCAGCCTCTCCTGTGCTCAGCCTCTCCCAGCCTCGGCCTCTCCCGTGCTCAGCCTCTCCTGGGGCTCGGTCTCTCCTGTGCTCAACCTTTCCTGAGGCTCAGCCTCTCCCGAGGCTCGGCCTCTCCCAGGGCTCGGCCTCTCCTGTGCTCAGCCTCTCCTATGCTCAGCCTCTCCCGGGGCTTGGCCTCTCCCGGGGCTCGGCCTCTCCTGTGCTTGGCCTCTCCTGTGCTCGGCCTCTCCCGGGGCTCGGCCTCTCCCGGGGCTCAGCCTCTCCTGTGCTCGGCCTCTCCCGGGGCTCGGCCTCTCCCGGGGCTCAGCCTTTCCTGTGCTTGGCCTCTCCTGGGGCTCAGCCTCTCTCCCGCCTAACCCTTCCCGGGGGT